CAGGCGGCGGTCGACCGGTCCGGTCGACCGCATTCGTGCACAAGGCTTCCTGTGCGTCTGGAAGGAGATCGGTCGACCGGTGCGGTCGACCGACGGTTCTCTGGAGTTTGGGTTTTCTGCTGGATGGTGATCGGTCGACCGGGCCGGTCGACCGGAATTGATCGCGGTCGACCGGGCCGGTCGACCGACGAAGCGGATATCAGTTTTTTCCAGGTTTTCGACCCGGTTCGGTTTGTAAGTTCTATATATACCTAAACATGTTTGTTTAGGGTAGAGGTTGGACGAATTTGAGCAGCCAAAGAGAGAGAATCATTGCATCCAATTGTGAGAGAGCTTTGAGAGATCTAGAGCTTTGTTTTAGGGTTTGGTCTGAGAGATTTGTAACCCTATTTGTATTCTCTTGATTTCTAGTGGAAGAACTCCCCCCTCCTTGCCCCGTGGACGTAGTCAATTTGCCGAACCACGTAAATTGTGTGTTCTTGCTGTGATTGTGGTTTGCATATTGTTTGTGGTTTAGTTCTAGTTATTGTTCGTGTTGCCCTAGAAAGCTTCCGCCGCGCACAACACCATCTTCAAGCTAAATCCCGGGCGTGTACCTGCGCTCGTAATATCTTCCCCATCCCTAGCCAAGAAAGTCCTCAAAACTCATGACCTTGTTTTCTGCTCTCGAGCTTCGACCGTCACCTCTCAAGAGTACTTCTACAATGGCTGTGACGTTGCTTCTTCCCCCTACGGTGAACACTGGCGAAACCTACGTAAGGTCTTTGTGATCCAGCTGTTGAGCTCAAAGAACCTCTCTTCGTTCAGATTGGTTCAAGAGGAAGAGATTGAGAGAATGATCGATTCGGTAAAGACTCGTTACGACACAAACTCGGCAGTTAATATCACAGACCTTGCGGTACGTTTGTCTAACAACATCATGTTGTGCGCAGCGGAAATTTCGGCAACACCTCCGGTGCGTAAGGTGCACAACAAGAGATTAGATCGTAATAAGAATTCTCGTCTCACCAAGGAAACAAGAATCTGAAGCAAATATCTCAACAAAGTGAGATATCGGCTCTTCCTCTCATCAGTTCTAGGACTGACTTGTCGAGAGATCCTACAAGCTATTACAAATCACGGCAGGAACACAAATTTTACGTGGTTCGGTAAATAGCCTACGTCCACGGGGTAAGAAGGGGGGATCTACTAATAGAGGGAGAGATACAACTAGGGTTTACAATCACTCAATCTAAACCCTCTCAACACAAACTCTCAAATCCCTCTTAATCTCTCTCTACAAAGGGACAGCCGACTTTTTTTTCTCCCACAGTGTTTTTCTCTGTAGCCGCCAACAAAATTTTTCTGCACCTAGACGAAAAATTCACAGCCTCCTTCTTTTTGAGCAGCCGAATTTTTGAGCAGGGAGTTTTTTCTTCTTTTTTTTCACTACAAAGTTACATGATTGCTTACATATATATAAGATCATACCACTAATATTGTTCACTAACTTCTAAATTCTTCCACTAATATTATTCACTAACTTCTAACTTCTTCCACTATCCACTAACTTCTAACTTCTTTCACTAACATTTTCCACTAACATGGACTCCTACAAACTAGGGACACTCCCTTTAATGGGTAGGACAGATTAACTCTCTCACATTCTCCCCCTTAATCAGGACGAGAGTCTAAGTTCCTTACTCCTAGCAACTCACGCATTTCGATGTACTTCATCCTTGCTAGTGCCTTCGTGAGAATGTCCGCCCGCTGCTCGCTCGTGCTCACGAACTCCACTTTAATCTGCCCTCGTTCAACACACTCACAAATGAAATGGAAACGTGTGTTGATGTGCTTGCTTCTTCCATGGAATACTGGATTCTTCATCAAGGCAATCGCGGACTTGTTGTCAACGAAGAGAGTAACTGGCTTAGGCTCATTGTCGGTCACCTCGCTGACTAAGCTCCTCAGCCACAGACCTTGGCATGTTGCAGCTGTTGCCGCCATGAACTCATCATCACAAGAGGATAATGCCACCGTCTTCTGTTTCTGTGATGTCCAAGTGACCAGACTGTCACCTAGATAGAATGTCATGCCGCCTGTGCTGTGTCTGTCATCTACATCTCCCGCAAGATCACTGTCAGTGAATCCCATCATCTCTTCATTGCATCAACTCCGTCTGCACACCAATCCGTAGGACACTATGCCCTTTACGTACCTCAGAATGTGCTTGACCGCCTGACGATGCACAACTGTAGGCTGCTCCATGTACCTACTCACAATTCCCACGGCATAAGAGATATCGGGTTGGGTGTGAGTTAGATACCTCAAGCATCCAATGGTGCGCCTATACTCTGTCACGTCCACCGGTGTTCCTTCAGGGTCCTTTCCAAACTTTAGCTTTGCCTCCATGGGATATTGGGTCGGGTTGCAATTCATCATTCCGAACTGAACCAAGACCTTCTTCGCGTAGGCCGCCTACCTTAGCGAAATGCAACCACCTCTCTGGTCCACCTTAATACCAAGATAGTAGGAAAGTAGCCCAAGGTCGC